CTCCCTCTCTCCCTCTCTCTCTGGGCAGGGGGATAGTACGTCGGACGTGGTCGTATCTGCTGCCACATTTTCCATTTTCTGTGGAAAGGTGAACGAAATGGAAAGGAGTTCTCCCTTTGTAGGTAAGAGATCCTGCGCATTTAATATCTTCTAACAGGTGTTAGTTAAAAACACTGCATTGACTGAACTGAACTGTTCGCCTATCCGACAACTAAAGATTTTTTGGCAGAGGTTGTTTGTGTGCCACCAGAGGGAACAGGGTGCAGAGATTCTTCCTTCAGTCTTTATTGATAACGCTGATCAGAGCGATAGAGGCAGGGTTGTGGAGCTTTTATGTGACTTGAAATATAGTTTTTTTTTTTTTTTTAAAAAACATGTTTTTGATCCTACAATTCGATAGCAATTAATTTTTTTTCTGTTTTTGAATGTTACTTTCTGCCCTTAAGACAACCCTCCTCTGTGTCTAACAGACTGTGGAGGGCAGGTGGATGTTTGTATTTTCCAAATGTTTGATCCAGACAGGAAGCTGTTTTTAACTTCACTCACCATGGCTTGTTGTATGCTTATTAATTAACCCACAAATCAGGATCAAATTAGCAATGTGCCAAGACTGAGACAGAACACTAATCTCTCCTCACTTTGGCTTTTACCAGTGCAACAGGATAAGACAGGAGTCATTAGAAGAAGACTCAAATCTTCATATTCAGAGGGCTGCTCCTCAGAGTGACAGAGCAGGTGTCAGTATAAGGGCCACATGGAGGCAGACTTGAATTAGGTTATGCTAATTAACAAGTGGGCCTAGACCAGATAATGATAAAATTTGTGTAGGGAAAGAAATCTCCCCAGTTCAATCTCAGAGACAATGATCATTACCTCAAGGAGGGGGAATTAATTAAAGATGAGAAAATTGAGACTACATTTGCTGCAGTGAATAGAAAGGAAGTGTGTGTCTGACAAGTTGTTGATTTGGTTTTAGATACTGAAATGCCACAATTCGGTTGTTTCATCCATCTGTAATCTTGGCTCTATGTCCTTGTATGTCCGTGACCTGGGACTTCATTAAATGTTATGTGCATTATCTTCTTGAAAAATGGACCCTTGTTAAGGCCTGTAGTGATGCATTTAGATAAACAGATCCATCAGAAGTAGCATGGCAAACCACAGCCGTTTTTCACAAGTCATGGGAGTTTGACAATAAAGGAAGAGGCAGTTTGAATAATCAGTGTTTGTGTTATAGATGACAGGCTGCTGGAGGCAAACGCTGTGTTGCCAGTCGACTTCATCACTTCACATCTCTCTTTTTCCTGAAGTGGAGCCTTAAATGTGCAGACATGCAGTCTCCTATGATACCCAGTTACCGTACAGGGGTTCAGTAGGTGATCAGCTCTCTGCTAGAATTGATCAAATTACCTTTTTTTAAAAGAGGGCAAATGGGCCGTAGCCTGGATCAATCCTGCTTCTCTGAAGTGTCTTGTTAATTATTTCATCACATTAACATTTGTCACTTACCACCCCCAATCTAGTTTGGCTATATTTTCCTGTTATTGCCTTTTGTTAATCTTGTCTTGTCAAGTGCTCTGATTGTCCCGATTGAATAACACCACTCTCCTTGGAATGGGTGCAAATGGGTTTTCATGGTGTATAAATTAGTGCCTCTATTCAGCATAAAACTGAACCTGCCTGTACCTTTTGAACTGAAACAAGCTACATGTTCCTTGGACCACCTACAATACATATAAATACTGAATAATTGTGATTCATCGCTTGCAAAGATGATTAATCATATATTTTCCAGCCTCAAGATGCAGACTAAATTCATGTTTAGTCGCCACATACTGTTAGTCTGTCTGTTAAACTGAAATAAATATGCAGGTAAAAAATGTCCACAATCAAATGC